TTTACAAAAAAAAAAAAAATATAAATAATTGCAGTATAAACCTCATGTTTACAGGGTTAAGATTCTAGATATTAACTAGAAAACGACGATAATGTTAATTTAATTCATATAATTAGAATTGATAATGAAATTAACTATTATTTATCTAGGAAAATAATTAATCAACTACCTCATAAAAGTTTTCAAAGCATGCGATTTTTGTTTTATTAGGAAATTAGATAGAAAAACCCAGACATTATCCGGCCTCCAACGCTGGAATAATATTCGTAGTTTGGAATTATTGTTTAATTAGATTTACAAGGATTTATGTCACATTATTTTGTTTCCTGGCTGATCAATTATTTGAAGAAGAATTCAAATTAGATTATGGAGAAAACTTTGTTGCAAATCCATTAAAAGTGTCTGTTTCAATGGAAAATGAAGTGGTGGCGGAACAATACCCTTCTATCTGTCTGGTGGCGTTCGGCGTTCCGACTACTCCGTCAAATATGTGTGACTTGAAAAACGAAGGCGGGGCTTCCTCCCTCATTTTACCTCCGGCGTGAGAATTAGTTTATAGACTTGGAAAAAATGCAATTGGAATTCAGATGACTAAAAAGAGAGAGAGAGAGATCCCCTTACCTATATCACATATGGGGTATTTATAGATATTGGAAGCTGGATAACCGCTGGGTGTTCGTGGTGCCACGTGTCCCACGTTGGCATTCCCACTACCCCCACGTGTTGAGTGGGGGGTCTTTAACTTCCCGTTTGGAGGTTGCGCCCGTATTAACCGCTATGGAACCTAGTCAATTCACTAGAGGATTTGTGGTTAAGTGTTTGGATAATCCTATAGGCAATTCCATGCCAGTTGAAAACTTCGCGTAGAGGTAGAGCGACCTTGGGGAGTCGACGACCTCGCGTAGTAGTAGAGCGCTTTCTGGGGGTAGTGATAGAGCGCCCCTAGGAGGGTCGACAGCCTCGAGTAGTGGTAGAGCGCCCTGTGGGGATAGTAGTAGAGCACCCCTGGGGGGTCAGTGGCCGTGCATGGTGGTAGAGCACCACTTGGGGATAGTGATAGAGCATCCCTTAAGGTTCGGTGGCCTTGCATCGAAGTGCAGCGATCCATCTTGCTTGTCACTGAAGGTGGCTTCCTCTACCAACCTATATCATTAGCCGCCTACCTCTTGTCGATGTTTTCGGCAAGGGGTAGCAATTTTCCTTATTCGGGTTGGTTTGAATTTTTTTTAAATGATAAATGAGTAGTTCGCATTAACAAGTTGAGCAATGCAATCGAAATCAAGTAGCAATTTTACTGTACACATGGCACCCCATCAATGGTCTTAATGTTGGAGGGAATTCCCCCCCCCCCCCCAAAGTT